AGACTCTAAAATGTGCTTATTTACTTGTCAAGAATTGTACTTAAAGAACATCTGACTACTGCTCTATGTGTTAAAACTGCATTGTACATTCCGAAATATGTAGATTGAATTGTACATAAATCTTGACACGTTCAATCATCATCACAGTACCTCATCATAAAAAAATCAATGAGATTGTAAATATTGATTGGACAAGTTGTAACATTTTATATTCAATCTAAACAGATATAGAATTCAATAAAGTCTTAGCAACACTTTTCCGGCAGAATGGTCCTTTAAAATGGCCTTCAGAAATCCCTGCTGCCCATTTTGGTAGCTTTATCGTCACATGCAGCAGATTCAGGTAGTTCTGAATAGCACCACGTTCACAAAGTACAGCTATTACTGCACCAAATTAAAAAAAAAAAATTCTCCAGTTCATAGATATAAAAACTAGAGGTAACTAAAACCAACTCTACGTTGGCATTCAGAGAAAGGGAGAGTGCATGTGTCTGTACACTGCTGTATAGCTTATTTGCCACCATTGCCCCCTCCCTTCCTCATCTGTCACTGGTTATTAAAGCAATACTAAAGGTTATTATTTTTTGGAAAATAACAAACATGTCTATACTTACCTGCTGTGTGCAGTGGTTTTGCACAGAGCAGCCTGGATCCTAATCTTCTTGGGTCCCCCGCAGGCTCTCCTGGCTCCTCCTTTCTGTCGGATAGCAAACTTTTTTATAGTACCGCATACTCATTCACATGGGGGGGACATGATATGGGGACTTTGGTAAAGGTGGCTTCCAGATTCTGATAAGCCCCCCCACCCGCAGACCCCCACAACCAATGGCCAGGGTTGTGAGGAGGAGGCCCTTGTCCCCAAACAACATGGGGACAACGTGCTTTGGGGGGAGCCCTCCTGCCCCAAAGCACCCCCCCCCATGTTGAGGGCATGTGCCCTGGTATGATTCAGGAGGAGGGGGAGCTCGCTCATTGCTGGCCGCTTGCTCACTGACCTGCCAGGCTGCATGCTTGGACAAGGGCCTGGTATTGATTTTGGGGGGACCCCCACACCATTTTTTTTCTAAATTTTGGCATGAGAGATCCCCTCAAAATGGGAGGGGGACTTCATGCCATTTTTAAAAAGAACGAACAGCAAGCTGCAAGAATTATGTCAAATAGTGAATGAACTATATAGGACTGTTCTTTACCACCAACATGGACAAATTGCAGAGCTTCTAGGTATTTGCTTGGCTGTATGCAATAAAAGAGTAACTTGGGTGTGTAATCTGGGACTAAGCTCAGATCACCCATAAAAAATTGTCATAGACAGAGCGATTTTCTTTTCTGCACTCACGGTTTGCAGGAAAGAAAATCTCTTGAGTCCCCCATCTACACAGTGTTGATGGAGGACTACCTCCCACAGAGCCAGTTTGATTACTGCTAGCGGTTATAATAGCCACTAGCAATAATCTCATGTACAATTGGACAGACTGATTGCACCCAAGTTGATCGATTGATCAATTTGGATACATAAAGCCTGCCCATACATTAATCGAAATCTCTGCAGATTCCTGCTGAACCTGCCGAGATTTGAACCGCTTATGGCTGGCTTAACCTTCACTTCCTGCCTTGGAGAAACAATCAGAAGTGAGTGGAACTTTATGCAAAGTGAGGGGAATGTCCATCCTAGATTTCACCAAAACATTTATCCTCATTTGAAGATTTCCCTAATCTCTTACTTTCTTGATAGCGCTAAGACTTTTTTTTTCCACTGCAGTGAGGTGAATTTCTTCAGCAGGGACAAATTCTACAACAGACCAATCTGAAACTAAAAATTAAAAGTTTTACCCTTACACACAGTTAAAGAGTCTTCTTCTACAGGTTGATTTTTAAAAATGTATTTCTAAGCAACAAAGTCACTTAACTCACAATAATTCACCAGAGTCCAGGCTTCATTTTTTCCAGTATGCATTTGAAAAGGAAAAGGAAATTAGCAACAATGAGAAGCTGCATTTATATATCTCTAGTGACAAATAAGCAACATAAGCCTGCTACAACATGACAGTACAGTTGGTTATGCAGTGGCTATTTTACCTGATATTCCTTACAAATACAAGTAATACAAGTAACTATAATGCAGAACTCTTGTCTGTGCATATGCTAAATCATAGCATATTCTGATTGCACTAAAGAAATTAGTCACAGATTATATTTATTCACCAGAGTCACATTTCAAATGACTGTCAATTAATTGTATTTTTCCTTCTTATTTTCAAATGGCTTGCTGAATCATATGTGACACAGTCAAATTTGGAAGGCGGCAGAAAGAAATCAAACCTCTACCAATTCAAACTTTAAAATATAATTTAATACCTTGTCCAGTTCAGATAAAGAAAGCATCAGTCACTTGGATGAGACCCATTAAACATGTCACCTGCACTATTTCACTCCAGTCCTCAGAGGGATTGTGATTTGGAATATATATTTATGATTTATAAAATTCTCCACCTTCTCTAAGTGTATTTGGCAGTTACAGAAAAAATAATATTCTGCTTTGAATAACTTTAATTCAAGCAAAATATAAATATGAGGTCTTGGTTCTTACAATTTAAATAACTTTCTTTTCTTTTCAAACTATATCTTCTTTTTAAATATTTACAAAACTTCTCTTTAAAATGGAGAAAAATTATCTTTTTGACCTGCAGTGATCTTAATCTTTGTGTGTGTTATGATCTTGGACCAATCACCATTTACCATGGCATGAAATGAGATAAATAACATGTAATTTAAAAATGTGAAAGTAGTTTAATGAGCATAAGCTTACTAATACATAAAACTGTTTTTTTTATCAGTACATGGGATGGACAAATTAACACATACAATATAGTAGAGATAAACTGAGTACACATCAGCACCATTCCCTGTATCATCCAGTACCACCCACCACCATAAGAAATCCGATGAGCCACAAGACATCGAAAAAAGGTAAGTAAAAACATTTCTGCATGTATAGGTACCGAGAGTCCACAAAGCAGTTTTGGTTTGAAACTGGCCACAACAAGCTTTATTGCACATCCATTGTTGGGTTAAGTAGGTTGCCTACAGCACAGAATTATACAGTGTAAACATAGAACCTAGCCTTTCCACCTATAACTACACAATAAAACTATTTTTTTTTACCCAGGAAATGGACCTTATGCCCTTCGCAGAACAATGGGGTTGATTTATTAAAGGAAAATATTCTTTTTACGTTGCAGGGGAATTTTTATTTTGCAAGACAATTTTCCCTTAGCTTAGTAAATGAGGTGAAGCTCTGCTGACTTCCATCATCCAATCAACATAGTTTGTTTTGTGATTGGGTAAGTGAAATTTCACCACATTTACTAAGCTAAGGGAAAACGCCCATGCAAAGTGGCTCCCCCAACACAACATTGTAAAGGCATCTTCCTTCCCTGAACAATCACAGCAGTGGCCTATCTGCCCCAGATTTACACCAATGTTTCAAATAAATACCCATGCAATTTTAAGTAATACTGTTTTTCCAGTGCTCCTCTACAGATATACATAAACTATATATAAAAAGTGAATAAAAGAGAAGATGAAGAAATGATAGTGGAAGCAAAGAAAACAAATGTAATACAGAACATTAGGGTGTTTACAATGTACTAAAATATATCTTTAGATTGTAAGCTCCACGAGCAGGGCCCTCCTATTCCTTCTGTACTGAAATGTATTGTAATTGTACTGTCTCCCTTATATTGTAAAGCGCTGCGCAAACTGTTGGCGCTATATAAATCCTGTATAATAATAATAAAATATAACTACATTTGTCTTCAGCACCACATATTTTGGATCATTTACTGTGGATAATGCATATCTTGCCTTTGCAACCTTCCCAATGTATCCCACAGTTGTTGCTCCCATTTTTCATATCATCTTTAAGACATTGGCTAGAATTAATCTATTCAAAATCAATCAACTAACCGTAATTTTTAGAAAATGAACTGAGCAATTTTGACTTCCTCCTTTCATGGCACAAACACAGCCCACACCTTTACCTGTGCATTTTCATAAGTCCACAGTAAAAAAAATGTCTGGGAATGGAAGACTGGCCCATTCACTTCATTATTTCCTTTCCTGTTGTTAGTGTTGTGGTGGTGGTGACCAATGGAGCACCTGCCATAAATTTACCTGAGCAGAAACGTCTGCCTGGAAGTGTGCAGAGGTTTCATCATCGATCCAATTCTATTCATGCCTAATATCAGGCATAGCATTGAATCTCAGGAGAAATAGAGCATTAAAAGTTTGAAAAGCAAATTTGTTAAAGACTTTAAAATGAACTAATAAAACAATTATGTGAACTGAAGAGGATAATGCTTACTATTTCATGCTATGATGTAAAAAAGATCCACCAACAAGCTGAATCAGGTCAAGACACATTGACTTGTGAGTTACCAGCCTGCTTTCTCGAATTTCATACTAATAAACTTGGGACAGATCATTAATTAGTGATGAACAATGCTTGAAAGTACTACCTAATATTTTGCTAAAAGCTTGTGTATCAGTACTGCTTGGACCCAGAAGGGGAAGAACTTGTCCTACAAGTTTAGATGTTAGTGCAAGTGAAAAAAGAAAAAATCATGGACAGTACTCAGTTGTTTCTGTAATAGGCAATGTACATCATTCATTTACATTTCATTTAAATACCCGAATGTTATTGCCAGTATTTTCTTTTAACAGTGTAACTTATTGTTATATTTTCAGTTTAAAATCCTCATTGGAGACCCAAAAGAAAATTGTTTAAATTACAAAAAATACCCTGTGGATTTTTTCATACCACTTATTTTCCATGCTCTGAAAGATCAAAAATATATTAATTTAACCGCAATCTTCTTTAAGCACCTCCCGCCCGCCATATAGTAATATGATGGGAGGAGCAAGGTGGTTCTCTCGTTCTGGGAGGACACAGCGGATCACCGATCATGGAAAGAGCCGAAGATATCGGCTCGGTCATGTGATCAGCTGTGTCCAATCACAGCTGATCACATGTAAACAGGGAAATGCCGGTTATCGGCATTTCTCTCCTCTCGAGCTGTCACGCTGACAGCTCGTGAGGAGAGGAGAGCCGGTAATCGGCTTTCCGCGAGGGGACATGTACACAGATCATCAGGGCACTGGTGATCAGTGTGCCCTGATGATCAGTGTAGCCCCAGCAGTGCCACCTGTCATTGTCCATCAGTGCCTTATGCCAGTGCTCATCAGTGCCACATCAGTGCCACATATCAGTGCCTACCAGTGCACATCAATGCCACATAGTGCCCATCTGAGCTGCCTTTCAGTGTCACCCATCAGTGCCAGTCAATGCCACCTATCAATGCCAATCAGTGCCACCTATCAGTGCTGCCAATCAGTGCCACCTATCGGTGCCAGTCAGTGCCGCCTATCAGTGCCAGTCAGTGACACCTATCAGTGCGCATCAGTGCCGCCTATCAGTGCCAGTCATTGCCACCTAACAGTGCCAGTCAGTGCCGCCTAACAGTGCCAGTCAGTGCCGCCTAACAGTGCCAGTCAGTGCCACCTAACAGTGCCAGTCAGTGCCGCCTATCAGTGCCGCCTATCAGTGCCATATATCAGTGCTGCCTTTCAGTGCCCATCAGTGATGCCTGTCAATGCCCATTAGTGCCACCTACCAGTGCCTCCTCATCAGTGCCCATCAGTGCCACCTATCAGTGTCCATCTGTGCAGCCTCATTAGCGCACATCAGTGAAGGAGAAAAATCACTTATTTACAAAATTTTATAACAAAAACTAAGAAAAAAATTTTTTAAAAAAAATTTTCAGTGGTTTTTGGTTTGTTTAAGAAAAAATAAAAAACTCAGAGGTGATTAAATACCACCAAAATAAAGCTCTATCTGTCACAAAAAAATGATAAAAATGTCATATGGGTACAGTGTTGCATGACCGCGCAATTGTCATTCAAAGTGTGACAGCGCTGAAAGCTGGAAATTGGCCTGGGCAGGAAGGGGGTATAAGTGCTCTGTAGGCTAGTGGTTAAAGTTGATTGAACATTTCCAGCATATCTAACCAATTTTATTTTTTCTTAGATCAAAGAAATGTTTCAAATATCTATCTATCTATCTATCTATCTATCTATCTATCTACCTATCTATTTATCACCCGTTCTCTCATTAAACATTTCTCACAAGCTCACTACCTTGTGGTTATAATAGGCTTCTTGTTCATTCCCCACCTCCATAATGTAGTCTACAAAATATGCCTTGTCTTGGCTCATACATAAACTCCTGCAACCTCTGGCTGTTTTGGCCTTCAATTTTTTTTTTTTTTATAATTTAAAAATTTATTCATTTTTCAAGTAAACAATACACATTTCCATAATGTAAAATATAACATAACAGAATCTCATAAAACACTAATTTCGTATCATTTTCTCCCCTCAACTCCCTTCCTTTTAACCCTCCCACCTCCCTCCCAGCTTCAATATACCCCTGACATCTATCTGATCGACTTGTATCTCACATCCTCTGGATACCGAGGTTTGGAAAAGAAAAAGACAGAGAGAAAGGCTAATTACTATGATTTCTCCTTTTCCTTATCCTTTCCCCTTTTCCCTTCCTTTCTTCTTGTCCTCTCTTTCCCTTTTCTTTACGCTTACTTACTCAGTACCTTCCTTTACCTTTACTTTTACTGTTTTGGCCTTCAATTAATAACTTATTTAACATGTTAAACAGCTTCTCAAAAAATAAAAAAAATATATTAAATAGCAACCCAATATTAGGAATTACACTAACATTTGCCACATCCTTGGCTATAATAACCAGCAGCGTTAATGTAAATTGATATGTGTCAACTTATCACTGTATAGCTGCATTTTATACGGCTCCATAAGTATAGGCATCCAAATATAGTTAATATAATAAAGCAAGTGCACAATATTAAAAGCTTTTCAAAAGTTGAATCCATTGGAGGTTCATAGATTGTATTCCACAGGAGTTTAGCTGTTCATATTGTGCCACATATGACATATGAGATAAATAGCATAAAGGGTGTGAACATATGGTGTTGTAGATTTTAGCTTAGTGATTAAAGAAAAAGGCACATGCTTGCTCAACTGTCGCCTCAGGTAACAAAGCATGTGTTTATGAGAATAACACCATATGTAGTCTTCAAGTTTATCCTGGGAAAGTGGAGCAATTTAACAAGCCTTTGAGCTAGGTTTAATACAAGCTGCTGTGCTCACCAATCCCCAGTACTCCTATTGCCTATAAACTTCAAGATTTTCTAAAACTTTTAGATATTCATTCTAAAAAGAAGATCCAAACGTACAGTAAATAATCTTGTCAAAGTTTATTCATGTTTAAAAACCTTGTTAGTATGCATAGGTTTTAACGATATATGTACATGGAGGCAACCAAATCTGATGACCCTCTTATCTCGCTCATAAAGTCGGTCAGAATGAAACATTAAGCTGGCCATAGATGGATAAAATCTCAGCTTATTCAGCAGGGACTGGCTGAGATTCCATCCATCTATGGGCCAACTGGTTGGACCCAAGTCGCTTCCTCTATAGACTTGCTTAAAGCGGAGTTCCACCTGTTTTTGTGTTTATTAAAAGTCAGCAGCTACAGAAACTGTAGCTACTGTCTTTTAATAGACACACACTTACCTGTCCCTGGGTCCAGTGATGTGCTCACCTACACCGTCCCTTCTCTCCCTGGTGCCGGCATCACAACTGTGGGCACCAGGCTCCGACAGCTTTCAGCTTTACAGCCGGGTGCCCGCTGCACATGTGTGAGTCGCGCTGTGCATCCTGTAGTATTTTGGGACCTTTGAAGGTTCCCAGGAGACCGCAGGAGGAAGGAGGGGGCCATGTCAAACTGAGCCAGATGTGGGAGTCAAAACCAGGTACCCATTCCTTCCCAAAAGGTGCCAAATATGGCAGTGGAGGGGGGGGGGGGAGGCAAACAAGCAGATCTTCCACTTTTGGGTGGAACTCCACTTTAAGTTGAAATTGATACATTAGGTTTTTCCTTTTCTCAGACAAAATGATCATGTTATTTGGTAGTGCTGACATGTGCCCTGTTATTTTCTAATAACAGGGAGATGAATCAATTAGTCTTGAAGGAATCAACTGTTTTTAAAGTTCAGATTTGTTGACCAGTGACACAGCATTCAGTTTACAGTAGTATCTACACATACTATTTTGTAATTAGTTATTATATTTACTATAAATTAGCAGTCATTGTTTTCTGCAAGAGACAAAAACTAAAGCTTCTTTTCTTTGCAACTCAGGCAAGAGTAGTCTACAAACAGAATTTAGCAGCATCTTCAACCCCTTTGCCTTGGTTTACTACTACCAGACATCTACTGTATATAGAACTTGAGGTCAAATTCCAGGTATCCCAGGTAGGTTTACTGCACTGGGAGTTTCACTTTGGATCAGTTGTGCCTGCATGTATCACTTAGGTGCATTGTTTCTTATTGATTATAATAAGGGAAAAATGCTCCATGTAGAACACATTTTGGCAGATTCACTGAATTGGAATGACTTATCTCAGGATCTTTAGGCTCCATTCACACTTGTACAACTCCAAAGTTGCACAACTTTGGAGTACAACTTTGGTACAATTTTGATGCAACTTTGATGCAACTTTGGATGAGTGCGACTTCTGTCCCTCTGCAAAGTTGAACCCACAGTTGCACTACTGTTGCATGTAAAGCATTCAGGTACGACTTTCATGCAACTTTTAAGGGTTAACATTGAAGTCTATGGCCCTCAAGTGGCAAGAAAGTCGGACCACAGTAGTGCATGAACTACTTTGCAGTCACACACGACAAGTCTCACAAGTGTAAATGGGATCTTAGAAAAAACTGGATAACAGCTGTATTAACTTTACCAAGATACTTGCAATGCATATAGTTGATCATAAGGCTAAACTTCAGGCAAACATCTATACATCCACAATTGAAGTACATACTGTATATACAACATTCTTAAAAATGTAATGACTAGTACTGGCTTCATTCAGTTCATTTTTTCACCAGTTGTTTCCGATGGTTAAAGTAGCTAAAGGCAAAACATTTTTGTTTTGGATAGAGTGGAGAGGAATTAAACACCTTTCAGGTTTTTATTGCTGTCTTTGCCCCCATTGGAGAGATCCTATATGTCTGTTTAGCATTATCACCAAAAGTGAAAGTGAAATCCCAAATTGTGGGCTGTCACCAGAACAGGAATAGAGGGGATATCTTCCAATGAGAACAATAGTTCTGGTGACAACCAGGAATTCTTTCACTGTCTTCTCACTTCCTGTTTTGGCTATGGGACAGAAAGTGGGGACACAGATGGCAAAAAAAGACTGACAGGGGTTAACACCCTTCCTTACTCCATCCAAAATTAAAATAATTGTACCTTTACTTCTGCTTTAAGTTACAAAGTTGTATGTCCCTTACTTACTATGTGCCATTGTTTACAGTTGCTTGTCTATACTGTATTGAGCTGCAAAAATAAAGAATAAAAAAAATAGATGAGAGCTGTTTACCTACCAAAGGATTTGTGTTTCTGTCCATCCAGTGCTGAGCAATACATAACACACAGCACAGTCAAACTGGTTGCCTAACTAGTCTCTTTGCCTCAGAGCACTGCCCTTCCTCTCTCAGGCTAGGTTCACACTAGTGCGGGTGGTTGCTGCTGCAGGACCACACCTGTTCCTGCAGTCACAGCCACCCAGACAGGAAAACATGCTGCCGCTCAGAATATGCGTGGGGATACCAGTAATCCTAATGGTACCCCCATGCATGGGGGAACCACACTGAACTTTGTGTTTTATGAAAAGGTGCAGGGACCTTTTCCCCTCATTTTCAGTGGATACAGCAATCAATTCAAATGAATGGACTGTTGTGCATGAGCAACGTCGCAGCCACAGAGAAGCTGCATATATGTAAACCAGGACTTAGCCTGATTTGTGCAGTAAAGATGTGAGGGGCATTTCTATTGCAATCAAGATAAAACCATTCCATCCAATACGGTTAACCTTTTTTTTTTTAATGAACACATAACAACACTGTTTTCTATGCCTGGCTAAGGTCCAACTTTAGAAAGAATCATAAGCACTTTCACTCCTCCCTGTAGCAGTTTTACTGCTACAGGGTGGTATTGCTGTGTAAAATTGCATAAATAAACGTCATTTTGCACTGCCGCCACACGAGGGTGTGTGTGAGCTGCCGGAGGAGACTTTATCTGTGAACTGTCACAGCACAGAATGATCTGCAAGCCCCAAGCAAGCAGTTGCTCGTCGGCACCTGCAGATCATCACTCAAGAAGGAAGAACATGTTTACATAGCCATAGCATTGTTGTGACAGTGGAAAGTCATGAATCATTTTTCTCTGTAGAGCTGAGAACATGATTTATATCACTTCTCAGTGAAAGCACCACCTAGTGCACACCAAGCACATAGCTAGACACACACTTAACCCTTTGATCACTCTAGATCAGTGGTTCTTAACCTGGGTTCGATCGAACCCCAGGGGTTCAGTGAGTCAGTCTCGCGGGTTCGGCAGAGGTGAAGACCCACACCCGACTCATATGATTTGTGCAGTAAATATTCATTATTATGCTTTTGTTTTTGTGTGAAAATCATGTTTTAATGGTTTTGTTCTTTGTTCTTAACGGTTTTGTTCATTTTGTACACCTATGTATAAATATATACCTATGTTTTGAATTTTAAAAATCATATTTTATTTTTCCAATTAAGAAGGGTTCGGTGAATGCGCATATGAAACTGGTGGGGTTCAGTACCTCCAACAAGGTTAAGAACCACTGCTCTAGATGCTAACCCCTTCCCAGCAAGTATCTTTAGTACAGTGCCAGTGCATATTTTTAGCACTAATCACTGTATTAGTGTCACTGGTTCCCACAAAGTTTCAGTTGGTGTCAGTTAGTGTAAAAGCGTCCGCCGCAATATCACAGTCCCGCTATAAGTCGCTGATCGCCACAATTACTAGTATAAAAAATAAAAATAATTACAGTGTATGTACCAGAGTTTGTAGACACTATAACTTTTGCACAAACTAATCAATATACACTTATTGGGATTTTTTTACCAAACATATGTAGCAGAATACATTTTGGTGTAAATTTTTTAAGAAATTTAATTTGTACAATTTTTTGTATGTTTTAGGTCCCATGTACACGGGACACGTCTAAATAATGGAAACTGACTGCTGGAAAATGTAGGTTATAAAACGTCTGTTTAGCTGTGTTTGCATAATGCGTTTATACGCGTTTATGTGCGTTTTTCATTTATAAGCGTTTTTTAAAGATAAGCACAGGAGAACCTCCCAAATGCCCAGAATGCACTGAAAAGTGGTAAATTATTAACTATTTCAGACTGTTTCAGAGGAATACAAAGAGTAGAAGCAGAGAGAGAAGTATGTGTTGAGATTAGCTAGGTGCGAGTTGCTCATTAACATTTCTTTTGTTTCCAAGGGTGGGAAGGTGTCTGCTGGAGTGAGTCATAAAGGTCACCTGGCAGGGAGTCTTCATGAGGAATTTAAGGTGTAAATGGTCCTTAACATATCTTCTGTTTCCTAGGGTGGGAGAGGTCTGAGGTGTGAATTGGTCATTGCAATGTGTGACAAGCTTGGTAGGAACATGCTGTGTGCAGTGTTTTGTCCATTTGAGTACCTTGAAAACACTTTGTATGCAGGCTCTGGACAGCATCGGGAATTAGAAGAGTTAAAAAAAAATGCAAACGCGTATAAACATGATTTGCTGCGTTTTCCCGCATTTACAAGCATTTTGCATTTGAAACGCTGATAAAATTGACTGCTGAACGCAAGTTTTATGCATTCAAAAAAAATGACTGTAAACTCAAATGCCTGTAAACAACTGTAAACGAAGATGTGTACATGGCAGGGGCGGACTGACCATTTGGAAACTCGGGCAATGCCCGAGGACCTGGAGTCAGTAGGGGGCCCCATGAGATGCCCCTGGTACCTTTTTCATAGGCTTTTTTGAGTTTGGGCAAGGACACAGGGGCCCCATGATCCCCAAATGCCCGGGGGCCCCATGAGTTGTCAGTCCGCCCCTGGTACATGGACACATAGGAAAACATTAGGGTGAGTTCAGGGTTGCTGAAAAAAACGCTGAACAGCTCCTAAACGTGAGTTTATCAGCTGCAGTGTACATGAGCCCTTATAGTAGAAAATAAAAAATACTCTTTGTTTGTTTTTATAGTTGTTGGTCTTTTTTTGTTTATATCACAAAAAGTACAAACAGCAGAAGTGATCAAATATCACCAAAAGAAACTCTATTTGTGGGTAAAAAGGGCATACATTTAATTTGGGTACAGCATTGCATGACCATGCATTCGTCATTCAAAGTAATACAGTGCCGTATCACAAAAAAGGGGGCTTGTCAGGAAGGGGGGTAAATCTTCTGGAGGGCAAGTGGTTAATAATGTTTGGTAATGTTTTATTCTATGGCTAAGACATGCATATGGCCTCTCTGCTGAATTTACTGCAGTGCTGATATTCTTCTGATCAGGGAGCATGCGATGGAATATGAACCATAGCCTCATCATGGACAGAATGCACTCCACAGTCATTGCCAATGTGATTCATGTGAGTGCCAATAATTAAAGACCTGATATTACAGTCACAGCCAGTGCACTTTTGTAATTAATGTGATATCTATTTATGAATCTTTAACAGACTTTGCCATAAGCAAAAATAAGACACAACTGCTTTGCAGAAGGCATGAAAGGTAGTTTTTTCATTCACAGTGGATGAGCAAATAATATGTTTATGTGTCATATTTCTAAAAAAAAAAAAGGCTAGAAAAAAAAACTAAAATGTATTTTAAACAGGAATAGTTGAATTATTTTGATTTGTGAGCAGCAATCTGCTTTCAGACAGTAGCCCATGGGCTATTAAGTAAGCACAAGAGAAGAACGCTGAAGACATATTTTCAAGGGAACGTAACATACTGCATATGGCATTAGCGCAGGACTAGACAGAGACTTGTTTTAGGTTTAAAATATAACATTTTCCAAAACCTGATGGATTGAGGAAGACAATTTCACACACATCAACAATTCTTTGCCAAATATTCCCATAACTGACATAAAATGCAGTGATGTAGAGATCTTACTGTGCTTGTGAAGGGCAACACAAAGCATTAGAGGACACTGAAATCTGGTGATTAACAAAACATTGTCTTGAAATAATACCTTCTGGATATTATTCTGCAGCTCCTCATCTACTGTAAAAGTGCAATTAATGGGCAACAGTGTTGCAAACCCATTAAAAGTCTCATACTTAGTTACAATGACACATCAAATCAATATAAAATACAGAGCTTGATCTGGATATGTCCTTGGGCACAGCTTCTGAGCAGAGAAACTTGCCATTAACTCAAGCAATATAAGAATTCTCAATGGTAATGGTCTATATGTATTAATATTTGTATTTATTTCCATTGTTTATAACTGTAATAAATTAAAATACTAAATGACTTTACTATTTCTCTTTAAAAAAAAGTGGCAGGATAAAAGATAAATCAGGGTGTACTCAAGACAAATTTGTGATTAAACTGAGATGCATTGACAGAGATGGATACAGTATGTGCAGGCTACCTACTCAGTGCAAGGCAATGTAGACTATTTTCAGTGTGTGTGTGTGTGTGTGTGTGTGTGTGTGTTTAGCAGGGAGAGTTTAATAAACAGGTATTGGTTTGATATCTGTAAATAATTCTATGTGAGTTTATATTTTAAAAACCTTGTTCCTATGTGAAATGTAAAATCATATGTGAGGCATGCATATTTGCCTATTAAAAATACAGACTCTGCTTTCTGTTTGTAGTGCTACACTGTGGGCGTGCTATACTGGTTCTTCTTCAAATGCAAGTTGATGGATCTGCTGATTGCTGACCAACTACAAAAAAAAGTTTTGGCTATATGTCAGTCTCCCCCTGCGCAGAGATTTCCCAGCTTGTGGCTGAACAACCCAAGCACTAGCAGACTGAAAATGGTCACCTCTGGGGCAGGGCAATTGAACAGTTAACACTTTACACACCATATGTTTTACCTGAAAAAAATTCTGTTGAAAGTTGACTTTTAAAAATGTCTGTATCACTTTCTGAAATGCTGAGATAGGAACATAACAGAATTTATACTATGGTAAGTTCTCCAGAGAAGTTTTTTTTAATTTCTAGTTAAAGCATTCAGAGATTCAGTTTAGTGATTTTGAAATATCATTTTAAAGAATGAGAAAAGAAAATCAGTGCAATTAAGAGTTACAGAAAATATATTATAATACAGACATAGGAAACAGTAAAAATAAAAATTATTTAAGAGTAAAAAAAAAAATGATACAACTGGTCTTCATCACAGGGCAGAATTTGGATTACTTGAAAATCTGATTTTGGAAGTCATTGGTCCTTATGAATCACTGTATTCTTTTAGAAGGAACTTCATTTTGTTTTTTGTTTTGTTTTCTTTGTTTCTTTAAATCAGCAGCTACATACTGTATATTTGTAAAAAGAGAAAAAACCTCAGCGCCCAGGATTCTCTTATTCCACACACTATTCCTCGTGAGATCCTGCTGTACACAGGTGCAAGACCAAAAAAACTTATATCAACTTATACCAGCGCAAAACCCACAAAACAATAAAATACCCAACCCATAAATAATAGTTACTAAATATCACAAACTTAAAATACACTGTGACACAAAAATATTAATTAAAATATTAATGAAATAAAAAAATATATATAATTTAAAAAAATAATAAGTCCAGTGACAAAATCCAAAAAAACAGTCCCGTGAAAAAATTAATTATGTTATTATTTTCATTGGATTCTTCCGTGTCAGTGATGCCTCCACCCATCCACCAGTGCAAAAACCAACATTAACCGCACTCACCAGATAATGGTGAGTCAAACGCCTTTCAGGGATATTAAGGGCTCCTGGACCCCCTTTACTTTGTATATGACCTCCAAATATTGCCTCCTCTAGGATATGGACACCTCCTCTGGTTACTCCTCTCACTGAATCCCCCAGAGAAAATCAGGAAGAACGCCCTGTGGGTGGGGCGAACCGCGTTAACGTATTTCCGGCTGCCTGTCCCGGCATCTGACGTCATTTCCGGTGAGTGGAACGCACGCCGAGCGGTGCGTTCCAAGGGGCCATCTTTGCATAGTGGATGAGTCTGCATCTGAGGTCTGTTATCCTGCTGTATACCTGGTTGTGGGGTCTCTATACAGAAATCGCTTTATATGAAAGAAAGATCATTTTTTTTATGAAAGAAAGATCGTTTTGCTTCAATAAAATGCGGGTTAATATCTGCTAAAATGTGAGTGGTCTGGAAAAATTCTTTTGAGATTGGAAATCACTACGGTATCACACTATGGTCTTTTCTTCTTCCTGATTTTCTCTGGGGGATTCGGTGAGAGGAGTAACCAGAGGAGGTGTCCATATCCTAGAGGAGGCAATATTTGGAGGTCATATACAAAGTAAAGGGGTCCATGAGCCCTTAACATCCCTGAAAGGCAATTGACTAACCATTATCTGGTGAGTGCGGTTAATTTTGGTTTTTGCACTGGTGGATGGTGGCGGTATCACTGACACGGAAGAATCCAATGAAAATATAAACATAATTAATTTTTCACGGGATTGTTTTTTTTGGATTTTGTCACTAGACTTATTATTTTTTAAATTATATATATTTTTTTATTTCATTACTATTTTAATTAATATTTTTGTGTCACAGTGTATTTTAACCCCTTGACGCCGACGTAACACAAATATGCGGCCTCACGGACCTGGGCTTTTTTTTTCCGTGGGCCGCATATTTGCGTACCTGTCTTGGTGCTGGGAGCGCGCCGCTCGGCGCGCTCCCAGCACCAAGACCGCGGTGTCACTGAGAGCTAGCCCCGGGTCCCGTTCTAACGATTGGGACCCGGGACTCCCGATTCCCGGGTCACGTGATCGCTGTGATAGCCTCTGATTGGCTATCACAGTGATCAATCACTGTGCAGCCCGGCCCCCTTGTTTTCTCTCTCTCTATGAATGGAGAAGAGAGATACATTGTATCTCTCGAACTCCTGACAGAGAGATAAAAAAAAAGTTTGTAAAAAAAAAAAAAAAAGATAATAAATATTAAAAAATAAAAGAAAAAATAAAGAAAAATACCTAGATCAAGGTTTGATCTAGTTCAGTACCAGGGTTAGTGTTTGGGTCAAGGTCAGGGTCAGAGGTCAGGGTCAAGGGCAAAGGTCAGGGTCAAAGGTCAGGATTTTAAAAAAAATTGGTGTCAGTTAGTGTTAATGTCAATGTCAGTGTGTTTTATGTAAAAAAAAAATAAAAAAAAAGACAAAAACAAAATGCGCACTGTTGTTTCTGGACTGTACTATGGGTACAAACAACAAATAACATACACATATATGGTATCGCTGCGATCGTCAAGAACTGGAGGAATGTATTTTGGGTTGTTCTTTGGTGGTAGGGTTAAGGTCGTAACAAGAAACACACAGTTAAAATTTAAAAAAAATGATTTTTTTTACTATTTTGGCCCAGTTTTCCTTTAATAATAATAAAAAAAAAATTAGGAAGCTATCCATGACCATTTACCACCAAATGAAAGCCCAATTTGTCCTGAAAAAAACAAGGTATAATCCACCTGGATGTACAAAGTAGTTGTGACGATATGTACGGTTTTACTAACATGTCAACGTTGCAGAATTGTGCTTAGGCATTTAGATTGTGTTTTACCCTTAGGCGTGAAGGGGTTAAGCTTGTGATATATTAGTAACATACTGTATATTGTAGCTGCTGACTTTTAAAAAATCATGTAATTACCAGTAACTGGGGCTGAGCTCTGTCTTCCCATAGCTGGTTCTCCTTACTGCTGTGGTTTCCCAACGCCACCATCCTGAATATGGGAGCTGACTGGCTTGATGAGGAACCACAGCCAGCTCCACACTGCTTGTGTGGCACATTGTGAAATGGTTCTACAACCTCCTAGAACATATGATGTGTCCCAGGGGACTGTGGCAAGGGGGGAGGTGGGGCAAGGGACATCACCTAGATTAGGACTGTAGAAGTGAGAGTAGGTACCAATAAAATTTTGTGCTCACTCCCTCCTCCCAAAAAAAAACTTGTAACAGGCTGAGGGGGGCGAGTGAACCAGTGCAACTTCACATTTTTTATTGAAGTTCCCCTTTACTAGTTCCGATGGCAAAACAAGAGCTTGCAGCTGCTACTGCAACAGCTTTCTCTTGACCCTGGAGATGGTCTTGCAGAACTACCTCCACCCAATCAAAAGGTCTGAGGGGTGTATTGTAGATGTGCTGTAGTTTTTTTTTATGCCCAGAGAAACCATCCTTAAAGCCAACTAATGATGGTTTCTGTGACAGACTCCAGACACCCCAACTGGGTATTTCTGCCAAGAAGCTGCTTACCAAGCTCTGGAACATGGGATAAGTGACTATAGCTGTAGCTACCCCAGAGAACAAGACAACACTAGTTTTTGAAGTAAACAAGAAGAACTGATTTATTAGAGAAACAAGCTTCATTTTATAAAAGAAAACCGTCAGATAAGAGCTAATCACATTGTCATAGACAAGGCCGACCGCAGACAGTCTGGCATCCTTATAGGAATACATTATACATAGGAAACCATATGTTACAGTGATAGTTCTTTTGGGGTGATTCCGAGGGAGCGGTGGCAACCCTGGGATACCATTTGATAGAACTGGACCCCCAGATGACATGACCCAAAACGTGACATGTTCCGTGCACAGGGCTGGAGTGAGAGCTGGTTAACGGTACCTGGATGCCGTCCATAGAATAACCAGGCAACAGTTCCATAGCAGTGGTTACCAAACCCCAGTGGGATGTAACAGTGGAATTACAAGGTTCCCAAGCAAGCTCCCTCTCAGTAACCACCCCTGCCCATATTTCACCAAAAGGAGAACATAGTCTGAAAAAAAGAGTGATGTGTCACAACAATGGCCCTGTTCTCCTGTAGCCCCAAGTCTGTGACAGGTACATCCATAGAAAAAGAGATTTCACGAATATGACAGGTCATTGTTGTGTCCTTCTCTTTTGAGCTCTAAAGTGTCTTATTAGCTTTTGGACATTGTAATATAGGTATGTTTGATGTTTAACTGAGTGAAATCTTCTACATTAGTGAAACTACTTCTTAGAAAGGTAATTCCATTACTGTAGGAGTTATGAAATGTAACTGAAGCTTACGTTTCTGGAATTCAGTTGTGGGTCAACATAGGCAATTTCCTCAGTCATACAGACTTATTACTTAAACTGTACTCCCTTAAATATCCTTCATCCACGATACCTATAGCATTAAATAGTCTATCTACAGCACGCCTCTTAATTGTTAGAAAATCTGCATTGGTCCCTAACATAACAGAGGTTAAACAGCATTTAGATGTAATATTTGAATATGAGCGAATGATGGCATATAGAGGCGGATCAGCTGATTACTTTCACCAAAGATGGCATTTTTGGAAGCACTTTATGCCTTCCACTGGGTAACTTTAACGTGGTCTACAATTTCATTGTATGTTGTTTATCATTCAATGTGCTCTTGATGTCGTTCAGGATTGCCAGATTGTGTGCTGGACTGATACCCATATGTACACTATCTTTCTTTCTTTTTTCCTTTTTTCTCTTATTCTCTTGTTGGAAATTTATTGAAATCTCAATAAAGCATATGTGAAATAAACTGTACTCCTGACCATTTACAACAAAGCCTCATCAGAAATCCTTTGAAGGCCCTGGCTAGTGAAGGTTTTTCAAAATGATATACAGTATAATTGGCCAAATAATCAGACAAGGAGTAACTGGAACTTGCAGTTTATTAAACAGGTGCAAAGTTAAAAGCAATAATGAAAAACAGGTCCAGAATAGCAAAGAGCATGCAAACAGAAATGAGAGGAAATCTCTACAAAGTGTGGGAATCCCTGGTTGTCAAAAGGATCACTAGAGTTAGTTTTCTTATTGGAAGATGTCTCGCCTATTCCTTTTGCATGACAACCCAAAATGTGTGCTTTTCTTTTACTTTTGATGATATCAGCAAACAGGAAATATAGGGCGAATCTCCCTAACAGGGGCACAGCCAACAATAAAAACCTGACAGGTGTTCTAATCATTCTCCATTCTGTCCAAAACTTAAAAGCAGAGCTCCACCCAAAAGGCAAAGTTCCGCTTTAAAGACTGGTCCCCCGCTCCCCATTAAGGATTGGCACCTTTGGGGGGTGGGAGGGAGTGGGTACCTGAATTTGACAGGTACCTGCTCCCACTTCCTCTCCGATCGCCTAGGTGATCGGAAGTGGAAGGTGTCCTCCCTTCCTCCCTCCCTGTAGTCTTCTGGGACATGTGACATGTCCCAGAAGACTACAGGACCATTCAGGAAGCGCAGCACTACTCGCACATGCGCAGTAAGTACCCGGCTGTGAAGCCACGAGCTGTCATAGCCGGGTGCCCACACTGAAGATGCCAGCACCCAGGGAGAGAAGACGGCTGGTAAAACGGGCTGCAGGGGACACACCGCCGCGGGACCGAGGGACAGGTGAGTGTGTGTTTTTTTTAAAAGTCAGCAGCTATAGTTTTTGTAGCTGCTGACTTTTATTTTTTGACAGCATGAGTGGAACTCCACTGTAAAAAAGAATTGCCTTTAGTTATACTTTATTCATTTATAATGTGTGTTCTTGCACTCCATGCAAGTGTGGATGCATCTAACACAACAATCCAGAAAATTAGGATATATATGTAAGAAAATATCAAACTGTGAAATGAAATAACACAATATTGATGACTAATCTCGTTTATAGGAATTAATTTGCAAATCTGGCATTTTTTTGCCTCGTATCAAATATGCTTTAGCTGTAAAGGGTAATTTGATGATTGAAGTGTGACTGCAATATTGAATTCCCATTGTCTTTATGACATTGCAGCTCATTAACACAGAAATTGATAGCAAAATATCCATACATGGAAAAACTGATGTTCAATGAATAATATATCACTAAAGCAGTGTTTTCCTAAGCTGGATAGAAGTTTCCAAAGGCAGTTCATAATACTACTACAGATTGTTACTTGACATTCGATCAGGAGACTCCTCCTAAATCTATCTCTGAACATTTATGCACAACACACATGCTTCCTTGATGTTTAAAATAACATAATTCCCCACATGCATTAACATTCCAGCTGCCACCAGTACAGCTTTCATTCCGAACAGGATTGCAAGCCATTAAGAAATGTATTGACAGTCTGTAGATGACTATTAAGTGTGAATAAAAAAAACAAAACATTAAAATGCGTTTTTCTTTAGTTTTATATCAAGTCACACTGTTCTTGTGACCTGTTAATGCAATGCAGATTATAAAACACATTTGATTTTTTTTTGAGTGTCTAGCAGCCAACTGTATGAATGCTGTCTAAACGATTTTTTGGAAACTGGCAATTCCAAATATGTTGGATTTCTGAGTGGCACCTTCGTCCAGCCCCTACTTCATTTACAGGATGCAGTAGCACCATAGCAGTCAGTAAAAGTATCTAGTGAGCATAGTTATGGACCCGAAATCCATCTTTCCCAAAAGTGTCTGTTTCTTAAAATTGTTTTGGCAGTCAATTTTCTTCATTACAATGGAGATTGGTGGCAGTGGGAGGGATGAGTATTTGCTATCTTATTTGTCAGAGATCATTTAGTTTAGAA